TACATTTTCACGGCCCGTAGACAATTAGTGTGTATATTGACTTTTATATATTTTATACGGTTTTACCGGTTATTAAATAAAGCAAAGAAAGACCTTATAAATGCGTATTCTACTTTATACTTATGTCATCATAGTTTGTACATTGTATTGTAGACACAAATATTTGTTGATATTCACTTGGTCGAGAGTCGAACTAGCTATTCTCAAGATGGTTAATTTTGCCGAAAAACTGTCAGAATTGAGAGGGTTATATGAGTTCAAGTGCGAGCAATTTGTCTACAATATAACACTTTTATCAAACAAATCACTTTATTTCATCTCGCTCCATTTAGCGGACGAGATCCTTTGAAATTCAGGTGCCAATAAGATTTAGACCCGAAAGATTTGCTCAATTTTTTATATTACTTTCGATCTGATTGTGATATATTTACATTTACTTAGTAATTTTATATATTTTATTTTTATAAATGGAAATAAAAACATAAGAAAGCTGTGCCAAAATCCTAATATATAGTTTTAATTAATACTATTGACTCACCCTCGCTTCGTTCGGGTGCATCCCTAAGTTTGAATGATTATGGAACGCATGGAGGACAAACATACGAACATTCATTTTATTTATATAATATATAATTGTCACATATTCACGCAAATCTATACTAACTTAGTTATTATGTTTTACAGCAATATTAATAAATAATGAATAAATACATATTTATTATTTACACACAACACCATAAATAGTTCCATGTTGGGCTACGAAGCTTGTGTTATGGATACCAGATAGTTGATACACTACACATATATAACTTTAAATACGTGCTCATCACACAAATAATTTCCCCCAGCGAAACTCGAACCCGCGACCGCTGGCACAGCAAGTAGGGTCAACACAACAAACCAAGCGTGTCGTCATAAAGCGTCATTTATTGTCATATATATCATAATATTATTATGTATAACACAATATTATATAAAGCTATTTATATAATTACTAGCGGCTCACCCTCGCTTCGCTCGGGTTCACCTCTAGAATAGCACAAACAGATCTATCCCACGGGAACCGTTTATTTTTCCGGGATGAAAAGTAACCTGTTATTTGACCGGCAGTATAAGGTATCAGCATGCCAAATTTTACGAAATTAGGTGCGTAAGTTGTTGTGTTCTAAGCTGTATAAATTACTATAGTTTTTTAACTATCCCACGGAAACTCTTTAATTTTCTGGAATGAAAAGTATCTTAGATGTTGACCGGGGATATAAGGTACTACCATACTAAATTTAATTTAAACCGGTTCAATAGTTTCGGAGATTAGCCCGTACAAACAGACAAACAAAAGAGAAATAACCTCTACAGTTTTATTATATGTATAGATAGAATAGAATAAATAACGTATGATAAAACAGTAATATTTTTATATAATGAAAATAGTTATAGCGAGTGTACCTTAGGAGAAAGACATATACTATGTAGAACTTTTCTATAGACCTTTTTAGGACTTACAATTTTCTTGCACAATGTTTTGATTTATCTCTTAAGGTTAAGCCAACGTTAGCCATATAAATTTTTTGCCCTTGCTTCGATAGAACCAGTTATTGTGTTTTCGAGTAATCAATAATTTGCCTGTCGTAAAAGGTATCCTAAATGCTGACCCGAGTACTAAGTTTTATCACTACAAAATTTAGTTAAAATCGGTTGAGTACTTTTTGCGTGAAACGCGCACATCGATTTGACTAAGTTAGTTTTATTATACGTATAGATAAGAATAAATATTGCGAGTGTAACTTAGGAGATATACATATACAATTCAGAACTTTTCTGTAGGACTTTTCAAGACCTACAATTTTTTTGTATATTGTTTTAATGTATGTATGTCTTAAGGCTTAGCCAGCGGAAGGTTTCTAAGGAGGACTCTATAAATCCAGTTATTGTATTTTCCCGTGGGAAAGAAAGATTTTCTTGAAGTAAAAGGTATCTAGGCAGTGGTATCCCAGTGGTAACGCGCTCGCTTGGGAAACCGAGTGAAGCAAGTTCAAATCCCGGGTCTCGCACCTCTGATGAATATATATATATATATATATATATATATATATATATATATATATTTTAATCTAATTTTATTCATAATTTCTTCTTAAAAAAATGTAACGAAAATAAGTAATAAGTAGCATAAACAGCAAAACACGCTACTATTTTTGACTTTAACATTTTTTGACAGACTCCGTCTTTTTAATTCTTTAGTCTGAGAATTTTCTATACTTACACATCAATACAAAGTATGTGTACGTAAATAAGTTAAATATTTATGGAATAGTGTTGTTTGAATGTATTTAGCCCTTTATAACGTCCTGATGCTGAGCACGGGGCTCCCTTTAATACGAGAGGCATCAGGCCATAGTCCACCACGCCGGCCAAGTGCGGGTTGGCGGACTTCACATGACTTTCGAAAACTTGCTAGGTTCTCTCAGACGTGCAGATTTTCTCACAAAAATTTTCGTCATCCTAAGACAAGTGGTAATCAAGTTCGAAATGATTCGCACATGAAAATATCAGAGGTGCGATACTCGGGTTTTGAACCCGCTTCACTCGGTTTCCCAAGCGAGCCTGTTACTACTACTAGGCTACCACAGCCTTAAAGTTAATTTTTTCCAAGCTTTTCCGAGTTCATATGATCAGTAAAATCATCTCAAAAACAATAAATTATATAATGAAAGATATAAAATTAATTAGCTGCCATTACGACATGAGTTTAAATTTTTGATGTTTGTTAATGAAGGAAATTTAATTTTATGGAAATTAGTAAATGAATTCATAAAATAAACGTAGTTAGTACACAAAATCATTCTATGTACAAGTTTTGTTTAAAAGCTTCTACCTATTTGAAATTTGGCTCCCAATAAACAATGGCATCCATAATAACTCAATCTACAGCTTTTGTGTTGTTTGTCGTTAGAAAGTTCCGTTATGTGCGTACATAGGCAAAGTTCAGCCAGTCCAGTCATAAAGACAATATCTCATCGTTTTATATTTCTAATTTGACGATTAGGAGATACCTTCAAAATTCAAGGAGTAAAACCTAAATCGTTAAAATTATAATTAAATCACCTTCAGCCCATATTAAGCAATAGCACTTCTAATATAAATGTGAAAGTTTGTATGAGTGTATGTTTGTTACTTCATCACGCTGAGCTGTTTCAGAGATATAGATTTGGATGAGATAAAATGATACAATCTTTTTTTTTAATGTTGGGATATGCTTTTACGCATACCACTTGTATACATACAGGTGATTATGTGGGAGTACTACCCACTAAAACCCAACAGAACTTCCTCCGTCTTAACGGGTTGTGGAAGGATCACTTACACACTCAACCACGAGGCTCCAATGGCAGGTTTGCCGAACCGACCACACTCTCACTCATCCACCACACAACCAAGGGGTTGCTCCGACAGTCTACTCTGCTGTCAGAAAAGTACCAAAACAACTCAGATGGTACCCCGCCCACTGAAGTGGACCACACATCGGGGCAAGAGTAATATAGCCTAGTGCAACTAAATGTTGTAATAACATTTATAACTCGGGATGTATCCGAGCGAAGTGAGTGTAAGTTTTTTTGTACATAAATAAAGAAGAATATGTTAAATCGCACACAAAAAATACCAGCGTAAAATGAATTTTTAATGACTTTATATTCATAAAAAAAAAACAAATATTCATCTCTAGAAAATATTCACCAAGCAGCGGACAAGAAAAGCTATTTAAAAATGAATTTGCTGGCAAAATTACTTGTTTAAATAATCGCTTTTATCCCAAGCTTCGCCTGCTTGGGACGATAGTTTTTTCTTTCCTTTCAATATTCTTTGCATCATCTTTAAATAGTTTAAGTGGTTAAAAATAGAGGTATTAATTTGTTAATTATATATTATATTTTTCTGTCAATCTTTTGTAAAAATAATAATCATATAAAATATAATATAATATCCAATTGTATGTCTCATTAAAAAAATTAAAATTAACTAATACTTTGGTGCCATTTTTTTTTTAATTTTTGGTAGATAAATTCTGTAACAACTTTATATTATAAGCCGTGGACATATTTGCTTTAAAGCTCTCGAAGCAAAGTAATCTGTGCCCAACTGACACGTTTTGAAGCCATAAACAAGAGAATTGAAAGCTTTTGAAACGTCGGAAACTAAAACTCAAAATAAAACTCGACAGAATGCGAACATATAGTTTCATTTAAAATGTTCGCGTAAAAAGTAAAGTATTCAAAAAATCTCTCTCTTATCAGAGATATTTCTAACAACACAAACATATTCTATGGATTACACCGATTTTTTTCAATTATAAATGTAATAATTGATGATTATAAATAATAAAAAAAATGTTTAAATAATCAGTTAAAGTTGGGTTTTGATGATTTTTGAAGGATGTGCTAAAATTTACCTAAATCCATACAAAAGTATCCGCGTGATTTATGAACAACCATACAAACATTTTTACATTTACAATATTGCTAGGATTACTTAATAAACGACACGTTTGGCTCAGTTTGTAGTTGAAATAAAATACGAATATTTTTGTAGTACGAGTATTGTACCAACATATTATGAACTTAGATAAAAAACGAAATTAATATTATGAGAATATTAGCATTATTTGACGACACGTTTAGCTCAGTTTTTAGTGACCCTACTTGCTGTGTCAGCGGTCTTAGGTTCGAGTCCCGCTGGGGACATTCATTTGTGTGAGAGCACGAATGTTTGTACTCTAGTCATTAGTGTATGTTTATAATATGTATGTATTTAAAAATATATATGGGTAGTGTATCTACTATCTGGTATCAATAACACAAGCCTCGCAGCTTACCATGGAACTAGATGGTGCTGTGTTTTAATGTCATAAAATATTTATAATAAATGACTTGTTTGTTCACAGTGTAACTAATATTTTCCTGGTAAACCTGTCGGCAGCAGACCTCTTAGTGACTGGGGTCTGCATGCCTATCCAACTCAGCAAAGCCATCACTTTGGTATGGTTTTACGGCGAGACAGTGTGCAAAATCGTAAATTATATACAGGGTAAGTAAATATACTATAGTTAGAAATATTAGCAAATTTCAATTCATAATTTGTTGTACAGATATGGTTTGATAGAACATTTTTAAAGTTAAAATTTTACTAGCTATATATTATTATAGGAAATGTAAATAAAATTCTTAAATTTAGTTTTAACTAGCGTCGCACCATCGCTCCGCTCGGGTTCGTCTCTATGTTTTAAGGTTAGTAGCTATAGATTTCTTAGAGATTAAATATTTTTACGCAATAAAAACTATCCAAATTGTTGACCTGGGTAACCAGCATCACATCACATACCTCATCAAAATCTGTCCAGCGGTGTTCTCGTGATGCGTTCTTACAGAAAAACGGACAGACAGACAAAAATTCTAAATATATAGATTCGGTCTCTGTATCGATAATAAGGACTATTTCAATAAGATTTTCCAAAAAATATTTTTAACGTGCATATTCGAGTCAGTTAGAATTTTATTATATGTACAGATATACGAGTAGATTATTATATATTTAAAGTTGATATTTCTAACACAATTTATGCTTTTGCACTATCGTCCTAGCCATTGTTTTACTGTATACGTAGTGATAAATCGTTGCACGGAATTTCAATGGCAATTTGAGAGTATTTCTCGGTATAAAGCTGATTTTTTTAAATTCTTATATATTAGAGAATTAACAAAAAGGATCAAAGAGGAAATCAGGTAGGATTATTTCAAAAAATTACTTTTCTTATATGTCATAATGTAACTAGAAAATCGTATGTTTTTATGGTTGATTAATACTCTTAAACCCTAACGTTTCTTTTATATAAATAAAAATGAATGTTTGTATGTTTGTCCTCTACGCATCCCTAAATTATAAATTCAATTGTGATAAAACTCTGTTAAATTATTCTGCATATAGTTGCAAAGGCACTTGGCGTAAAAAAAATATTTTTTTCTTTGGACGTTTGTCTTTATGTAGTCATAAACAATGCAAGCTTTAATAAAATATCTATGATGATGATGTTGTCGATAGTTTGATAAAAATTAGCATATATTTTATTTTAATTCTGAATTTACATCTACATATACTAATAATATAAAGAGAAAAGATTTGATTTTTTGTTTGTTTGTTTGTTAGTACAGAATAAGCTACGAAACTACTGATTTAGATGAAATTTGGTAAGAAGATAGTTTGAGACCCTAGAAAGGACATAAGATAGTTTTTATCCCAGAAATCATCCGAAAATGCGGATGAAAGTTTGTATAGGACAGCAAACTAGGGATGAACCCGAGCGAAACGAGTGTGAGTCGCTAGTTATAAATATTTTTGTGCAGGTGTCGCCGTAGCAGCAAGTGTTTTCACCTTGACAGCGATGTCAGTAGATCGTTGGCTATCTATCGCTCCTGAGCCTCGTCTCAGGCCTCCAGGAAGAAAGCAGGCCTTGATGCTGCTAGCGTTACTATGGATAGCAGCACTTCTCATCTTCATACCACTCCTTATAGTGGCATCTGTGAGAAAGGAGTCTGTCCCTATTATCTCTAAGGCTTATAAGAATATTTCGGTATGTATTAACTAAAGTATATTTTACAGAACTAAGTGTGTATAAAAATTCTATTATAACATTTTATTCCGTGAGATATTTTGATTATAATTATTACAAAAAAATATATATTATAAAAATAAAAAAAACCCGACTGCATAAAAGCTAACTAAAAAGATGATAACAAGTTCACGATGGAATATAGTATTATGCAGTCGGAGACATACACGTTTCATCCTTGCTGCGAGATGTATGTACATACTCGTATGTATGTCTCCGACTACATAGTACTATATACCTTCGTCATCTTATTTTTTTACAGCTTTTTAGTTTATGCAAAAATTAGACAATTAAAGTTATATTTAACAATTTTTATATCCTAAATTACTTTTAAATATGTAAGTTGGTATATTTTTATGATCGACTCTTAAAAACTTTTATTTTGATATCCCAAACGTAGGCTTGGTAGAAATTTTTTTAAAGACACAAATTGGCGCCTGAAATTCACCATTTCAATTTTTAACTATTTTTATATAGCCGACACATATTATCAATACAAAAACGACGTATGAATCATCAAAATTGACTCACGCATTTAGTTTCTAGAGTACTACAAAAAAACAAAAACACCTTCATACATAGGCTGATAAACACATTACTCTCCTTTGCGTCACGCAGTCGGGTAAACATGTAAAATTGATTTTAAAATACATATGTAAGTAGATTATAAATCGTAACTATAATCATAATATAATCTGAGTAAGTTATTACTAGAATTAAGGAAAATAACGAAGATTAGCAAACTGTAAATTTAAACCAAACAGTCAGAGCTCAGAATACGTTATCTGTAAGCTTCTTATTCTGATGTGATTAATACGAGTAAATATTTGCAATTTAAATTTTGTGGATAGATGTTGGCTGTAATAACTATATAATAACTTTTGAGCAAATATCTGTTCCATTGTTCCGTAACCATGATTGCTGATGCGTATAAGGGTTCGATACAAACAAAACATGTTTAATACCGATAGGACTGGTAAAAATATAGGAGTAAAAATTAAATGGAGTGTATATAAGATTAAAAGTTGCGGTTTACAGGTAGGGATAGCGGGAATAGAAATGACGACACGTTTGGCTCAGTTTGTAGTGTTTGTTTGTATTTGCTGTTTCAGTCGCGGGTTCGAGTCTCGATAGCGGCATTCAGTTGTGTGATGAGCACTCGAATGTTTATACTCCAGTCATGGGAGCTTATATTTTTAATATGTATATATTTAAAGTTATATATGTGTAGTGTATCTACTATCTGGTATCCATAACACAAGCCTCGTAGCTTTCCATGGAACTAGATGGCGCTATCGTATCTGATATATACCAGACTCGGGTTTTGAATCCACTTTACTCTATTTTCATAGCTGCCAGGCTCCCAATAAGCCACTTGGGCATTGCTAATATTCATTTCCATACACGTACGGATTAGAGATAATTTGGTCTTTCGTGGACCTAAATAAAGTTTACGAACTAACTTACATATATAAATTAATTATTCATTTATAGTTTAAATTAATTTACATTCCTTAGCATTTAGCAAAATAGGATTTTCGAATTCGTGCTGAAACTTACAATTAGTAGCACAGCATAGGAAATGTTTTTCGGAATCACAGACTAAAGTCGATTGTTGGTCTAGTGTTTTGTTTCCGTACATATAGAGCTTTGTAGCACACAAAGCTCTAGCTTTAAATCAATTTAGATTTGCAGCCAGCTAGCTACTATTAATTAATAGTGGAATTACCTTACATTTTGGGCGTCGAGTGACGAAGTGAAACAATTTTAAAATCGTTAGTTGATGTTGATATATGAAATGGAAGTTATAAGCTTCGGTCCCGCACTTTTTTTGGAGAATGTATTATTTAAACAGATATATTTGACTCTGTTTCTCATATCTAATACCTTTGAACGAGCAATTGTTGTATATTTATTTATACTCTGCGATCTCGGAAACGGTTCAAACGATTTCGCTGAAATTTGATATGTGGGGGTTTCCGGGGGCGAAAAACCAACCCATCAAAAACTCAAAAACATAAATGGGAAAATGGAAGCCAAGTTTAATATTAAGAATATGCGTGGTTGTCAACTTCATCGTCATAGTCCTGATTTTTTTCATAAGAAAATCAACATTCTAAAATAAATTTAAAACACAATTTCTTGTTTTTTTTTTCAGCTACAAAAGTCTTTGCTATTTAAAAGTAGAACTTCTTAAATTTGAACAGTCGAATTATTTACACAGAGTAGATAACTTTGAAGTTCTAGATTTGACTTGGCTAGTTTTTACCAGTAAAGCAAGTTTTTAGAAAACAAAATAATTAATAAATCTTTTTCGGTGTATGCCGCATTGCTCTGGAACAAACTTCCGAAAGACATCCAATTAAGCCCCTCTATAACTGCCTTTAAAAAGAAAATAAAACAGCACTTTCTCACCCAAGTTATTCCACAATAATTATATTAACTACTATTATTATGCATTATATTATATAGATATGTATTTGTGTATGTAGTAGTATGTACATATATTTATGTATATAATATGTATAATGTTTTGTTATATGTATATATAATATATATTTATTTAAGTATTTACATTTGAGTTACTGCACTTTAGCCTGCATTTTAATACTATCTCTCTAACTCACTTAGGTTGACTGGAAGAAATCTCTTCTAGAGATAAGTCCACCTTTGCTAACTAATTTTATTGCTTGTTACTCTCTGTATTTTACATATAAGTGCAATAAAGAATAGTATATAATTTTAGTTAATAAAAGCTCTTTCTTCTATTTCTTTAATATCCCGAATTTTCAAGTAAAATAGGTATGATATACAGACAGACGGGTAGACAGATGGACAATATTCCTTTATTGCTATTATTTTTTTTTATACGGAACCCTAAAATACACATGATTGATTCATACAATTTAAAGTTTCTAAAATAATGCTAAAAAAATTGAACTCATATCGAGATCAATTTAAGCAAAAGAAAGTAGTCAGTATATTTTTGCCATTACAATACATAACAAACAACATACACAATACACATATATGAAAAATTAGAAGGATCTAAAAAAATTTTTTGTACAGTGTAAAGTAAAAAAAATGTTGTTATAAAAACCGTCATACAATAATATTGTAACATTAATTAGAAATGGAAGATATTTCATGAAATATAATTAAAAAATCAAATATTAAAAATCAATTAAGCTTAAAGTGAATATTAAACTAATTATACTTTGGTACCTTTATCGTAACCAACAGGTCGTGAATAACATTGTTATAGATAGAGCCTTTATATAAGCTAATATGATTATAACGTCTATCAAAGGTTCAGCAATGTACTTATAATAAAAGGCAAAAGCTTATTTTGTATATAATGTATATTTATTTATTTATTTAAAACTAACATTGCCCGTGGCTCCGCCCGCGTTCAGATGACCAAAAACCAAATTCTTAGGTTTTACCTATTAGTATACTCTTACATTGCAGTTTTTATATTTTTTCTCAGAAATGAGACATTTTCCCGTGGTAAAAAATATCCTATATGTTGACACAGATAACCAGCTATCACCTTACTAAATTTCAACAAAAAAATATCTGTGATGCGGTAACAGACAGACATTCTAAAAACCATAGATTTGGCCTCTGTATCGATAATAATGTCTATTTCAATAAGATTTTTTAAAAAATATTTAATGTACAGAATTGATTCAGTAAGAATTTTATTATATATATAAATATCTTTTCAACTTAAATGGATATATGTATATAAAATCTTAAAAAGTTTTACACAAAGGATATTTTTTATATTGTGGCGTCTATTTCTTCGTACACTTCCATTTGCCAGAGAGTTAAAGAAAATATGCTGACAGTAGTTTCGAATAAAATACAGTCTGTATAGATTTAAACTAAAAAGAAACAATTATAAAAATATAATTGTAAACTAGAAGCCACTATTTTTAATTTAATATAATATATAATTAAATACAATAATAAGTAGTTTTAGTTTTTGTATTAATGTTAAGTAAATCATTGCAGTTGGTTTGTTTAATATTTTTATATACTTTTATATTTTTATATAACTAATTATAATATTTTAAATTATAAAGACCATTTAAAATTTTTAGATTTATTTTGTTTTAATTTAACTTATTATTTTGTTTCAGATAGAAACAAGAGATGTACATTTTTGTACAGAGGAATGGCCGAGTCAAGAGACACGCAAGCAATTCGGCACTTTTAGTTTTACCTTAGTTTATGCAATACCTGGTAAGATCAATATTCATTTATAATAATATGAATTGTTTTACAATATTATTAACGTTATTTTTAACGATTAATGTAGAATAGGTAGACTATATACTGCTATATACATATATTATTTTTTTCTAACTTAAACTTGACGTATTGTTGTAGATGGTAGGTCCACTACTATTAAAAGTAACTGAAGTAGTGATTCCCATACAAAATAACCAGTTCTGAACTTTTCGATTTTCTAGCTGTTCTTATGGGTTTTCCTAAAATTTATTATATTTAACCATCCCTGATATACCTCTAACAAAACAAAAAAGATTTATTCAAATCGGTTCAGCCGTTTTCGAGTTTTAGCGAGACTAACGAACAGCAATTGATTTTTATATATACCTATAGATAGCATAAAAAATTTAGGCCAATATAATTTTTGAACTATTTGGTGTATTTAGGCATATGAACTGTACACATACAGGTGCTTATGTTGGACTCAACGGCTAGAAAAGCCAGTACTACCCTCTAAAACCCAATGTAACCTCTCTCGTCTTAATGGGGCGTAGCAGGATAGCTTATCACGATCCCTGACGGCAGGTCTGCCAAATCAGAATACAACAACCATTTTTTTTTGTTGACGCTGGGGAAACCCATCATGGGGACCCTGCCGGCCGTCAATGGGCAGGGTACTGTGAGACTCCTACTCACTAAAACCCACAGCGGAACCCGTCGCCGCAGTGCAATGGGGTGTGCAGGATCGCTTGCGCATTCACTGCAAGAATACAACAACCATGGGGTTCCAACAGTTCACTCTGCTATCAGAGGAGTACCAGGAGCAACCCGCATGGTACACTATCCACTGAGATAGGCCGCATCCCAGTGCGTTTCTTTGGTTCGCGCCCGGCTGAATTGCCTCACACATTGGGAGGAGATTTTAGATACTTTGTAGTTTTGAAGATTTTCATGCTTTATAAGATGATTTATGGATAACATTGGTATCAACTTAATTTTAAACTTATATAGATTTTTTTAATTTAACTTTTTCTTATTTTATGAATATAAAATATATGTTCGATAACATTAACTACGGTTCACATATTTCAATTCCAGACGAGTTGATATATACTTTAAAGGACATTTACATAAGTCATTTCATGTTTATATATTATATTTTATTCTTTGTGTGATTCTTCCATGAAATTTGTATGTATCTAATTAAGAAAATTTTACATCGTGTAATATTTTAAACCGTGATGCCAGCTTGCTATGACTTACAGCTTATGTACAACGAAAAACGAATCTAACGACGTATCAGTCATCGAAATCGGCCCACGCGTTTGGTCTCTAGAACGCCACATAGGAAAAAACATACATACTTACATAGACAAATAAACACATTACCCTCTTTTGCGTTGCGCAGTCGGCTAAAAACATAAGCTTTCTCATTGATTAATTATTAATTTTCGCGATCGGCTTTTAGTTTGAACTTTTATATAGACTTAATTTTAATTAAAGTTTAATTGCTAACATTAAACTTAACTCGCGATTAAGTTTAATTTACAGTCTTTGAAAAATGAAGCCTACAATTTCTTCGTTGTTTCGGAAAATGAAGTTAGACAAATCTTAAGTGTTACAGGCATATCAAATCACAAAGTATAAAATAGGAGGAAAATCACTTTTGTTATGTCACCATTGATATCAAATTCTTTTATATCAACTTACTAGTGACCTATCCACACTCCGTTTGAGTGCGACCCTAGGTGACATCAATACTGTATATAAATATTATTAATGTGAAAGTTTGTGAGTATGGATGTTTGTTACTCTTTCACGCCAGAACGGCTGAATACATCTGGATAAAATTTGGCACAGAGATAGATTATAGTCTGAAATAACACATAGGATATTTTTTATCCGGGAAAAATGTACAGTTGCCTTGGGATAGATTTGTTTTCGTTTTTCTAGAGGCGAATCCAAACGAAGCCAGGGTAAACCGCTAGTACTAAATATAATATTATAAAAACGGGAAAGTTTTTGAGAATGGATGGCTAAATGTTTGTTACTCTTTCACGGAAAAATTACTGACCGGATTTGGATGAAACTTTACAGTAATATATCTTAAGCATAACAGTAACAAATAAGTTATAATTTATAAAGATATAGTTATACATGATTGAACTACGTGGGCCTAATCGCGGGTAAACGCTAGTACTATCATAAATTCAAATTCATATGGCTAATAACTATTTATATCTATTTAAAACGTACTTAGAGTCGCACCCGAGCGAAGCGAGTGTATGTCGCTAGTTATTAATATTTGACTATAATATTATAAATTTTCAACTTTAACATAATATTAGCAGAAATTGGCCTAGAAAACGGTTTTTTTAACAGAATTCAAACTAGAGGAGTTCGTCAAAATTGTTTCAATGGTGAAACCAAATAAAATGTTTTTGTGTGATAAAATTATAAAAAAAATCATTTTATATATTATTATTTTATGTCAATTTAACCTCAATGCAAATTTAACCTATATATTCCTAAAGCGTCGCCGGTCCATTGAAGTTGTTCTTGCGACGACATGATTTCCTCCGCCCACTAAGCAGTAAGCAAACTGCGAGTTGTTTTGCTTATTATACAATTATATATCTATACATATATAATAATTGTAACCGAGTCGAATCTGTACATTGAATATTTTTTGGAAAATCTTATTGAAATAAACACTATTATCGATACAGAGGCCGAATCTATAGTTTTTAAGAAATTTGTCTGTCTGGTACCGCATTACAGAAAAACCACTGGATTTTGATGAAATTTGGTATGATAATAGCTGGTTATCCGAGTCAACATATAGGATACTTTTTACCGCGAGAAAATATCTCATTTCTGAGAAAAAATACAAAAATTGTATTGTAAGAGTATACTAATATGTAAAACCTAAGAATTTGGTTGGTCATCAGAACGCGGGCGGAGCCGCGGGCAACGCTAGTCTTTCATACGATCTATTAATATTAAGATTTGATAGTTTTTTTTTGACTTCGAAAATAGTAAGTACGATTATGAATAGAGTTTCAAAATGATATTCTTTATTTACTTTTATTTAAATTAAAATAATTTGTCACGATGCGTTCCCCTATATTATTTTTAAATAATTTTCAACTTAGTGTAAATTTACGCATGTGTAACTAACGTCGCGGCGTAAAATCGAACCCAAAACCTAGTCCTATTATTACCCATACACCCATCTAAACCTATTCTTATAGTACCATAAATGATAAACATCAGCGTTGATGATTACCATTCAATCCGCTTTGTACAAAATTAAAATATTAAGATCACAAAACTTTGTTTTCGGGTTTTTTCACAGATTTATTTTGATTTATGTTTCCCGACGTTTCGAATGCTTTATAGCAATCGTGAGCACGGGAGAGCCTTGCGAGCTTCTGAATGGTTCAAAAGGCATTTTCGTTTAACAAACATATAACCACTTAATGTGACCTCTGCTTTGTTCTGCCTTCATAGTAGCTTAATAGAAATAAAAATTGTAAAGTATTTTTATGTCAAAAAAATTAAAAATATAGAAATAAAGTCTATTGAAATTCGTTTTGGTGCTTTCTATTCTGTTGGGCGCGAAGAAAGAGGGTAAAATTTTCAAAGCTGTTGAAGTTGACTTCTGTAGCGTTACTCAAATGCGATTTTAAAAATGTTATAATTATAGAATATAATTTGTGTTATATAATATTATGTTAAGGCAGTGGTAGCCCAGTGGTGACGTGCTCGCATGGGTAACCGAGGGAAGCGGGTTCAAATCCCGGGTCTCACACCTCTGATATTTTCATGCGCGAATCATTTTCAACATGATTACCACTTGCCTTACTGTGAAGGAAAACATCGTGAGGAAACCTGCATGTCTGAGAGAACCTAGCAAGTTTTCGCAAGACATGTGAAGTCTGCCAACCCGCACTTGGCCAGCGTGGTGGACTATGGCCTGATCCCTCTCATATTAAAGGGAGGTCCGTGCTCAGCAGTGGGACGTTAATAAGGGCTGAATATAATATTATGTTAAATAACATGACATTATGCTACTGTGGGCTCTCCCTACATTATCTTTACATTAAAACGTAAATATTATAGATTTCTGTCGGTCATTCCACTTAGGATTAAGGCTCTTTTCGAACTGGTGGTAAAGTCATGGCTTGATAAACTATGATATAATTTATTACTAAATAATTTTATTTGAATTGCATTGAATTGAATTGAATTCCACAGGATCAATCACAATCCTGTCGTACGCTTGCATGGGCAGGACGCTGTGTTCTGTGCGACCGCCTTTCGACATCGACGAAGGAAACGTTAGCATGCAACAGGTAATTATCATAAAATTGTCTATGATTTCTTTTAGTTTTTTATCAATATTCTAGATTTAGTATTTTAGGAATTGATTGGCTTTTGCTTCAATTTAGATTAATCTCTCTATGTGTTAATACTAGTGCTAGAAGGCTGCAGATTCGGAGGACCTAGATTCGAGTCCCGGATTGGGCCAAATTTAGTTATTGAGATTTTCTGTGAAGGAATTTTCAGTTACAGCCCGGAGTTGGAAAGTTAAAAAAACACACATAAAGCCTTAACTCCCATTGGATGTGTCGAGAATTTGAGAGTGAAAAGGAATAGAGAGTGCTCTTGTGTCTGCGCACACGTATATATATTTATATATGTACACGTGAAATTGTGTCTTTATATGTATATTGTATATATGTACGTGTATCTCTTGTGCAGTTGGTCTGTCTCAGTGAGGTTGGATGCCATGGCTAGAATAGATCATCATTATCTGCATAAAAAATATCTTAAATTCTTTTTCTGATAGACAACACATGACCTATAGGTACCGCTAGATTTTGAAGAATGAATTTTTGCACTACAGTTTCTTATAAAACAAAGGTGATACAAAATACATATTTTTAAAATTAGATTACGTATAAGAGTCAAACAAGTGATGAAAGTGTACATATTTCCTTATTTTATTTTTATTTATTTGCTTTTCTAGGGAAACATACAGTAAAATAAATAATTACATTATAAAACATGCAAAAGTAATCCTAAAACCAATCTTATACAAAGAAAAAGTTTGTTACCACAATACGATGCATAAAAATTGAGAATATAAATAAAAACGTGTGTGTGTGTGTACGCACGTAAGAAGTTATATATCTTTGGCATAACAGAACAAAAATAGCTAAAAATATCATCCCTCATAACTCTCTGTTTGTAAAGGGAATGCAGCTAACTTGATCATGTCGCTTTTTGGCTGTCGGTGTGCGCGCGCATCGTAAAAATTTTATTTTTTTCCAAACGTGCCAAAAGAAGTATAACTGCAATAAAAATAGTACTAAATTGTATTTATAATAAAACATTAAGTACTTATGCAGAGTAATATTACTACATATAGCAAAACTACCAATTATAAAGTAAGTTTAACAATATATTTTTTTAACTATATTTATGTAATTTATGAAGTAAGTTCCCCATCGAGCTTACAGAATGTAAGCTTATAAGCACCAGTGGAATCATAACACATAGTCCATTAATATTTATTGCCTTAACTGTAGTTTGAATAATACTTAAATATGTATATTACATACATTTAAACTTTACCAAAGATTAGTTATGTTAATGTTTTGTGTACACAAAACATTAACATCTATCACGTTCCATAACACAGGAGGTGAAAATAAGGATAACAATTTATTTATGTAAAAATTTTTTTTTTTAATTGGGACATTAACACAGCACCACCTAGTTCCATGGTAAGCTACGAGGCTTGTGTTATGGATACCGGATTCTTGATACACTATACATATATAATTTTATATACATACATATTATAAATATAAACACCCATGACTGGAGCACAAACATTCGTGCTCATCACACAATGAATGCCCCCAGCGGGACTCGAACCCGCGACCTCTGGCACAGCAAGTAGGGTCACTACAAACGGAGCCAAACGTGTCGTCATTTTATTCAATTACAAATTATTTTATTGATATGCGAAATAAGATTCGCTTTTCATTTCCTGTCTTATGAATTAATCAGGTGAATGCTCATGAATAACAACCTTCCTTCGGATCTTGGACCGAATAATTTTATAATTAGGGTGCTTTAGTATATCAAATGCCAAAAAGGCCACAAAAATTTCAAATTTATACATATAATTTTAAAACATGGTATAAAGGTAAAAGGATTTTGATACACGCAGATTAGATGGATTTGATTCAATTCAGCTATAAAAACATATAACTATTAAGTTATTGTAATATTTTTGTCTTATTTTAAAAAATAATTTATTGTTGATTTTTTTTTAAAACCGCTCGACCGATTTTGATAAAATTTAAATGGGACCACCTGGGAAGTATACCTTTTGAAACAAAATCCAAATCGGTTCAGGCGTCTTCGAGTAATTGTTGAACATACATAAAAAAAGATTCCCACAAATTGAGAGCCTCCTCCTTTTTGGAAGTCAGTTAAAAGTATTGTACCTAAATGGTAAAAGAATGTTTCTAATAGATGCTACAGTATAAGAAATTACCCGCTACATCCACCTAAACTCACAATTTTGTACTTTCAAATATCGGACTATTCTTACACATGTGCAAGTATGTTAGCAGTTATGTTTTTTACTCCTTCCTGCTCTAACGGCTGAACGATTTTGGGTGAAATTAAGGATTCAGATAGATTTTAATCTGGAGTAACATATCGGATAATATACACCTAAGGTTGCACACAAGCGAAACCATGGTATGTTGCCAGTTATTTTATAAAATATATAAGTTTTCATTGAATTTTAATTTAGTAAACCAAGCAGGAATAATATTTCAACTAATTAGAGACATCCGACATGCTGAGACCTCAAGCGTTCTTAAGATATTTAATTGCGCGAGAATTTTAGTTAGTTTATATTTTGCTGTGCAAAAATAAGTTGGGTATTTGGTTTCTGCTTTTATCTTCCATTTAAAATGGTAAAGATGATTACTTTTTTAACTTATTTTTATTTTACTGATTTTTACTTTGCAAAATAGATATTAAGGATTAGGGTATTAAAAATGCTTTCATCCTGTTCTGTTATTAATATATTTTAGATTGCTTTTACTGAAAAGGTACAGTAAGGCAAATAAAAGTAGGTTTAGGATAAATATATATATATATATATATATATATATATATATATATATATATATATATAAGACGGAGGAGGATTTAGTTACCTTTTTCTGTTATGAAACCTTATTATTGTTTAAAGTCACTATGTTCTTTAATTTACTTTTTATTGGTTTTAAAGTGATTTTAAATATAGAGCAGAGATTTAGTCTCGAGCGGGGTCGAGACGCCATCACGACATTCTTTGCAGATACGCGGCTTAGTAACGTTGGTTGATCATGGTATAGAGAGTTATGTTTGATATTGTAGTTGGAAGTCGATGATCGGTGACTGTGAACCCGCTAGCTCTAAATCATTAGAATTACCGTTTCAAGTTTATAACATTGTGACTTCCCTGATTAAATTGTGTATTGAGCACTGAATACTTTATTATTTGAGCCCTGATAACGCCCACAAGATGAGTAACCACCAAAGATGATGTTCGTAGTATATGGATAACACGACATATATATATATTAAAAAAAAACTCCACCACAACACTATTGAGACCTAATTAACCTACTTATTTAAAGCAATAAATTTTATTTTTATTTTCAATTTTTTTCATAATATGAGGTGGCTAATATTGAAGTCAATATTCATTTTACCACAAGATCTCAATAATACCAATTTTTTTGAATAGGGCTTTCAGATATAGGGTTAACTTTAATGTGAAAGACTTTAGCTATTATGCTAATGAACAAATGCCTATACATATATTATATACATATTATGTATATAGAATTCACTTGGTAATTTGCAGGCGAAATTACTTAATAATGGTACTTAATCTGCATGAAACCACACCATTAGTGATTATATCTAACTATTATTCACACAGTGGTAAAATACGACCATTAACTCTATTAAAAATTTATAAATAACTAGCAGTACCCGCGTTCAAACTTTCGATCGCTACCAAACTTCACAGAATTACCCGCTTGGCCAATCAGAAGATTGCCTGAAAATCTCATCAAAATTGCGTCAGCCATTTTAGAGTCCGTAGAGAACATACATACACACATGGATTTTTGAATACTAGCAGAACCCGCGGCTTCGCTCGCGCTAAAACTACAAAAAATCTTTAAAATGGTAGGTTTCATAGAAACTTTCATCCGCTATTTTACCCCCTTATGGATGAATTTCGAAAAATGCTAAAACACTATTTAATTAATTGTATTGAAGAGCATTTATACAAAGTTTCAAGTAATTCTGGTTATATTTTTTTATTTTGTATTGTACGCCTTTTCCCGTGGGAAAAACATAATTTCCCGCAGTAAAAGTTGTCTATGTCACTCTCCAGCCCTCCAACTATCTCCACACAAAAAATCACGCTAATCCGCCAAGCCGTTCAAAGAAAGACAAACAAACAAACAAACACAAACACACTTTCACATTTATAATATTAGTATATCCAATTATGGATAATACTGAATTGAGGAGAAAAGGGTACCATATTGTTCTATTTTTGCTTATTTATATTTAAATTATATTTTTGTTTCAGGGTCTAAGACTGATGAAGGAAAGGAAGAGAGTGGCGTGGATACTACTTCTGCTGGCGGTACTGTTCGCTTTGTGTTGGATGCCGTATAATATCATGCAATTACTACTTGACATTAACGCCGTCAATCCCAAGGACTTGAGCATGTATCTACCATACGCTCTATTTGTAGGTAAGTTTCACTTAATAGTAATCTATACATATAATAAAATTGTAACTAAGCCGAATCTGTACATTAAATATTTTTTTGAAAATCTTATTGAAATAGACATTATTTTCGGTGCAGATCTATAGTTTTTAGAGTTTTTGTCTGTCTGTCTGTCTGTTACCGCATCACAGAAAAACCACTGGAGAATTTTGATGAAGTTTGGTATAATGATAGCTAGTTTTCCGGCTCAACATATAGGATACTTTTTACCGTGGGAAAATGTCTCATTTCTGAGAAAAAATACAAAAATTGCAATATAAGAGTATACTAATATCATGAACGAATTAAATTCGTCCATGACTAATATGTAAAACCTAAGAATTTGGTTTTTGATCATCTGAACGCGGGCGAAGTCGCGAGCAATGCTAGTATTATTATGAAACTAGCAAAACCTTCCATGACTTAGATCAGCAGGATTATTTGGTCTTCATGGATGAGATGGGTACCCAGTAACACGAGTTCACATCTTGTACAGGGGCCTTTGCAACTACAGTGTAAACTCTTTATAACGTTATCCTTTATAACGATAAACTCCCTATAACGTTGGAGTGAGCCCAAGTTGGTTGGTTTGCGTTAAAACTCACATATTGAAACACTCTTTATAGCGATACGCCATTCTCTATTACGAAGAAATGTGTTCATATTTTTAGACAGTAAATATTTATTATCGGTATTATTGTTTATGTTATGTTATCAGGTAACAAAAGACTTTGAAGCTCCGAAACATCCGAGGTCGGTCTAGCTTTTGTTATCCTTAATTGCCTTGTACACGTGCAGTATGACGCAAGACATACATACAATTAAAAATTCTTGTTAATTTGGTTTTTTTTTGTTCACTCCATATAACGATAACTCTCTATAACGACAAAAAATGCTCAGTCCCTTGAGTTTCGTTATAAAGAGTTTACACTGTATTTGTAACGCATATTATATAAGTCAATAAATATTAATACTTTCTTAAATTTACGCAAATATTTGACATTTTAAATAAAACTGTCTCTCCCGTGTCCATGGTTGCTGTAAAGCATACGAAACGGAACCACAAATTAAAAAAAAATTGCGAAAAAAATTCCGAAAAGAATTTTTTTTTAAATGTCAAAAAATATTTTATTTGTTTTTTTTTTAATTTGAACTAAAATATCTTGTGTTCAACTCATTGTAATATATTCAATAGTATCTATATATTAAAAATCAAAATCGCTACAAATTCTTTTATAAGACATTTATTTATTGAATATCTAAAACACGAGGATTTCTTAATATTATGTGAGATATTTTAAAATTTAAAAATCAGTCTGATCTAATTGAATAGTAAATTTAGTACAGATATAGTAATAAACAACAATATTTATGTTAACTTTCATTGAAATACGTAATATTAAATGAGAAAATGTAGTATTTTGTTGTTTTCAATTCAATTCAATTTTCTTGAAATGAAATATTCTTAATTGCAGACCATTATTTTACATTATACAGTTGAAACAGATTAAAGGAATATAGTACAATAGACGGCCTTATCGCTAGAGAGCGAGCTATTCTAGGCAACCTTTGGGTAGAGAGAAAGAAGAGAGAGGGAGGGGGTGCAAACAATCTTAAAGAGAGATACAATAAATACATACATATATACAAACATACACACATACATACATATATACATACATACACACATATAAACATTATACATATACAATAAAATATGACACCATTTCTTGTTAATAGCTTCAAGAATGTAGAACGGAGAAAACACGATATTATCAGTTTTCATTTTAGGCTTTCATTATTATCGGCTAATGCACCAATTTTGGAATTTATAGAGCAACAGATAATCAGACAGAGCAAAAGGCAAAAGAAAAGCACATTTTGTGTATAGTATTTTGTTATATAGCGACCTCAATTTTTTCCTTTTGCAATTTCATTTTTTGTTACAGCCTTCGCTATTGTAATATATTATATGATTCTTTGTAAACGTTCCAATAGGCAGCTTATTACGTTTCATAAGAATGAGTTTACATATAATATGTAGGTGACAAAACCGTAATAGGGTTTCGACACGACTTTATTTTTATTACATTTTTATACATTATATCTATCCTACATCATATGTTTTGTTTCCTAATTTTAATTCTTTTTTTTAAATAAAAAACCTAAGTTACTTCTTAAAACATCAGCAATTTACCAGTGAAGGTCCCGTCAAAATCGTTGCAGCTGTTTCGGAGATTAGCCGAAACAAACAGACAAAAAATTTAAAAATTGTTTTTTTCTTATAAGTATCGTAGATACTTTCATATGTATTTTGTAAAAAGCTGTTATTTTGACATTACAAATATACTCTTCAATTTAATTTATTTGTATTGTATAGATTTACGTTACGTATGTATGTATGTACGTACTGAAGCCCCAAATGACACCTCTGATTCTGAATGATTAAATCATAGATTACTAAATCTGTCATGATCAATAATAAGAAATCAATGTTAGAGCATATTGACATCACGTTAGATAACTTCTATAATAAGAAATAAATAAATAAATATGCTGGGACATTAACACACGGCACCATACAGTTCGGCTCCGAGGTTTGTGTTATGGATACCAGATAGTTAATACACTACACATATAGTTTTAAATACATACATATTACAAATATAAACAGACATAACTGGAGTACAAACATTCGTGTTCATCACACAAATGAATGCCCCCGCGGGACTCGAACCCGCGACCGCTGGTACAACAAGTAGGGTCACTACAAATTGAACCAAACGTGTCGTCATAAGTGCGTCATTGTGTGTAAAAGGTGTAGTGTGTATGTTGGTAAAGTTACTATGAAAAACTAACTCTCATTATTGCGGGTAACGCAGCGAGGAAATAACTTTACCATAAAACAACATGACAGCACGTGTGAGCTAACTAACATTTTCAAGGTACATTTTAAGAGAAAAAAGTTCGCCAGCCAAACGCGTCAAATAAAAAAAAAACATAAAAATTACCATTAAAACGAGCTATAAATAAAGCCAGATCCTATTAAGACTGAGGTATTTCTTATCTAAATTCTAGATAGTTTTGTAGATGTTAAGCAAACCGTTTTTTTTTTTCACTTTCAAACCTATATTCTCATAATAAATACTCAGACATTTACAAATGAATTGTTTTCTAGGTATAAAAAAACCACAGTGTACATCACAGAGTAGTGCATACATTCATCACGCTACTAGGTAATATGTGTGCCTACGCCATTGTTTTTAGAGCTTTTGTTACGTCAATGTATAGTAAATAAAAGAATAGAACAGTTATTTATTCACTTAAATTGTATTTTATACTTCTAAGAATAAAATATTAGAATTAAATTAAAACTGCACTTTCATGTCGTCGTTACAAAGACTTTGTTTCTTATGTATTTTCTCAATTATACGGGTGGCTAATTGCTTTTGAGTTCTCAAAGAATAATTAGTACAAGGCTATTCTTACAACTAACATTTAATTTATTATCTATGATGAGCAAAAGTAAGTGGATTCGATTTTTGTGTTGTAAATATCGATGTGTTATTCATCCATCCTTATTCATCCATCATAGGCCCTCTATCTATGCTTCTATCTAATAAATTTCAACCGGAAGTTACAAATTTAACACACACGCATCAATGCGCGCACAGACACACACACACACACACAACACACACACACATACTCTACATAAATACACTACATAGTTTTCGTGCTTGTAATAAGTTTGAAGTGTAAAGCGTCAGCATTAAACTTGAGAAGAGAGTAAACTTCTTCATTGTAACGTTGGTGTACAAAAGTGTCACTGTGGATAAATAACTTTTCACATGAGCGAAACGAGGACAGCAAATCATAAAAAAAATAAAGAAACACGAAAATATTCGTAGAAAGCATTTCGTAAATATAGTTACTTTATTTTTTTATTCAAAACCACTCATAAAAAGTAAATTAATTCATCATTACCCTTGAAAGCTCACTTATTTGTTTTCACCAGATTAAAAGCTCTTTAGATTGTGGTGTATAAACTTACTGTAGCCTATTAAAAGTAAGTGAATCTAGCTTAACTTATTTATTTTCGTTTTATATATTTTGAATTCACACTTGTTGATTCGTAGTTTCTAAAATGTTCTTTAACCGAATACTTATATTGCATGTTTTGTAATAATCGTATTGTGATATTTATTGAGGAAATAAAGAGGATTTATTATTATTATTATTTTCAGCACACTTACCACTCGCCTTTATGGTGTAGGGAGACATCATAAGAAAACCTATTTATGTTGGATGACACCTATAAAAATACTCTTTTACGAAAGACAAATGAACCCACACTTAGCCATTGAAATGATATATTATGGCCTGATCCCACTCTAAATGAGGGAAGGCCTAGTAAAGGGCGGGGTACATAAGTCCGTAAAAAAGCTACTACCGGCTCGTTTGTGCTATCCATAAAAGAATTATATCTATGTTGACCTTGAGCTTGTTAAAGCTCGAGAGAGCTTTACTGGCAGCTGAACAGATATCAGATTAATTTGTCACTATATCATGCAAGGGAAATAAGCGCCAAGAGAACTTAATTTATTTTTCAATATATTTACTGTATATACTATATATTTAATATTTTTAACACGTAACAAGATGTCACTTACAGTACTAAAGTTAATATTAACCATTATTTCAGAGTTTTAAACTTGTCAGGTAGTTTTAATTATTTTATTCATCAATTTTAATTGTTATTTATGGTTTATTATGGTAAAGACTTTTTGTTTATATATAATAGAAATATTCATTTCAATTCACAATACAGTATACAAGAATATGTAAACCTTATTTTAATACAGGGTCATTTTAATTTACTGTAAACCTTTTGGAAATACACTATTTACAACATAACAACAACATCTGTAAGAAAAAAATAAATAATTTATCTTAAATTTTACAAAAATAAAAATATTTTTATT